TACCGGAGTTAAGCCGCAACACGGACTGGGATTGTTCTCGGAGATAGCCGCCGCTACAGCGTGCTCGCACCCGACGCTCAAGCGCAGCAGACGCACATTGTTCTGACAGTACAGGGGCCGCCACGACACCACCATGCGTGATCAAGCTGCACAGGGACGACCGCCGCTACAACCGCCGCCGCTGCCGCGCAGCACGCCCACACCGATGTCTCGCAGTTCAACCGCAGCACGAACGTGTTGTTCTAACAGTGCCGGGGGCATATACACCACCGATGCCGCTTCCACGCGGAGGCGACAGAAGGCACCCCCATGGCGCTGCACACTCACACCGATGTCTAGCAGTTCAAGCGCAGAATGGACTTGTTGTTCTAACAGCGCGCGGGCGAGCCACACCACGATGCCTCTGCCACGCCGCGGCACGGCACACTCACACCGTTAAGAGCAATGTAAATACGTAAATGAGCCATTAACGTAGCAACATAACAATGTTAACGATGTAATGTTGGAGCGATTAAATGACGTAACACGTGAGCGATGGAACCGATATGAGCAACATAGACAATGTAATGAGTACCCTAGAGCGCAATGTAATTGACGAAAAATGGAAGGCGATGGAACAATAAAGCAACATAACAATGTAACGATGTTAACCATGGGCCCATCCTAAAGACGTGGTTGCTGCGAACATTGCTGAGAAGATACCAGTAGAAACGTAGGGAGAACGGTGAACTACCTGAGACAACAAACACAATGGTTGACAGCAAGACAAAGGTACGAGTGTGGGACCCGCGAGTGAAACAATACAAACGGCAAGTGAGGGGAATCGCGCAAAAATGAAATGGCTCACGAATGCCACTGGGATAATGGTGAGTAAAAAAGCACATCATAGCACGAACGAGAATTTAGCAAAATGATAATTAGCAGCACTCATTTTATGCATCTGGATAAATTCATTAAACGCACAATTTAATTGATATAAAATTTAGTAATTATATAAGTCGCATTATGGATGCAATAAATACTCAACAAAGAATCAATAAATAACACGCAGAGCTTAAAGAAATGCACAGAACCTTTCTACAATGCTTAGCGTTATTAATTTACATGCTAGTACACATGCCAATGACGTAAAAGTTGACGTCGTCTATCGAGAAAAAAATTGACTCAGTAAGATGGTAGCACTAGCAAATCTGTACCTGATAGAATTGCCTCTAAGTGTAGTACGGCTTGCTGGCGAGTCACAGCGGCAGGTACTCTCTGCAGTGCCTCTAGTCAGCGAGGGAAACACCGCTGAGCTGCCTCTGTCGGAGTCCTATCGGAATAGCTGGACCTGACAAACTACCCAACATCTTAGTGTTTTTTATACTCTACTACTTTTATTACTATACGATTATACTTATATACATACTAGTTTTTTATTTAAGACAAGGGAATCTGTGGGACACATTACAAACACTCAAAAGCCAGGGTAACGAAATAGGGTATTTTGGTATCGATTGATTCCGCGAAATCTGCTGTTGTGTGTGCTGCGCGGGGTTTGCAGCGCGCGATCTCTCTCTCTCTCTGTCTCTCTCTTCCCTCTCTCTCTATCTCTCCTCTCTCCTCTATCTCTATCTCTATCTCTATCTCTATCTCTATCTCTATCTCTATCTCTATCTCTA